TCAAACACCTTTGGCAGCCTCTAGAAAAGAATGTCAAGTAAACCTACAGACTAATGCAAAACTGCAGTTATGTCGAGAGCCACACGTATCTCCTAGTTCTCCTACTTGGAACTATTTTGTCCTTGTCCAGACATAAAGTTTCCCTGTTCATTTCTGTGGGAGCCCTTCAAATGCTGACACTGTAGTGGAAGACTAGTATGTTACAAACCCCAGGGAGCTGTCAGGCTCTGAGCACAGGTCTTACCTTACTCTATGTTCAAACCCTGGAAAAACCAGCACTGTGAGAAGCCAGTCCTATGTCTCTGCCATGGTGATAGAGATGGTTTTTTAACCACTATCATTTGCAGATGAACCCTTTATAAGACAACTGTTTTTTTTTTCTTAGAAGGGCTGAAGATTTGGAGCCAACTCTTGAAAAGCAAGGAGGTATGAGACAGAAGTTGCCCCTATTAGAAAGTTGCAACCCACATACGATACGTTCCTGTGAGATAGAGCTATACAGACAAATAAGGTACGTTTTACATGGAGATACAAAAAAATGCAAAATGTAAATTCATATTTAACCATCACAACATGTGAGGCCATTATTGTAATCCCCCCTTTATAGATAAGGAGGTGAGGACAAGCTGCCTGTGCCATCTAAACGCCCATTGGATTCCAGGGATATGTCTCCTGTTCACACCCTCGGTGAGTCCTTCCCTGCCCCAGCCCCTGCCCTGCCTCTCTCAGGATCAAGTCCAAACTCCCCACCAAGGCCAGCCAAGGGTCCCTCGTCTGCACGTGGTCATGTCTGAGACCCTCCCATGTCATCTCTTTCCTTTTGCCTCTCGCTAAAGTTTTACTGAGCTTCTGTCAGTCCCTCTACACACCATGCTTCCTCCCCCGCCTCGGCTTCCACCCTTGCTGCTCCCTGTGCCTCCGAACCAACAGCCCACCTATTACTCTGCACACGCCCTAGGGCGGCACTTTGCGCACTGTGTTGTCATTGCATGTTTAGGTCATTGTATCGCCACTGAACTGCAAGCTCCATACCGAGGGGAATGTACCCCACTTCCCCAGGCTCCCTGGTGAACACAGTACTGAACTCAGGTCTTGGCCCTTAGCAGACACTCACTAAAGTATTTGTTGAATTACATGCATGAAAATGAGAAATGGCATCTTAGGAAAGTCATTTCACCGAGGGCCATGCGGTAGCATCTGAAGGAGGACTGGACCCACATCAGTTTTGTCCCAAACTCATGATTTAACCTACTATTACGTGTTGGGAGCTGAAATGGATGCCACTCTACCTATGTGGGTACTGGTTTCCTGAACTAGGAAATGAGAGTGTGGTCTATAGAACAGTGTGGGGTAGGGAAAAGAAGACTGCATAACAGAGAGAGATTTAGAATAAAGTCCTGACTCCATGCTGTGTGACCTTGGGCAAGTCACTTAACTTCTCTGGGCTTCAGTTTCCACAAGAATAATGTGAGAAGGTTATTCTGGACAGTCTCTAAATTCTCTTGTTAGCCCTGAAATGCTGTCACAGAGGAACTTCAAAGTTGTAACCTTTTTCATCCCACAACTTTGCTCTCTCTTTACCACCAAGAGCTCACTCTCTAATTTCTCACCTCCTAATCAATTTTCAACTCGTTATAATTCCCCCTCTGTGCTTCCCCTCCCTTGAAACTGTTCTCTCTAAATTAACTGATGACCTTTCAGTGGCCGAACCCAAACCCCTCTTTTGAGTCTTTATTCTGTTGACCTCTTTCAAGCATTTGAAAGCCTCACGTCTGTGGTATCTCCTAATCATCTTTCTCTTAGTTTTAAGCTAAGGCTTTGAGCTGCTTCCTATTTTCTCCTGTCTCCAATCCCATTCTCTTATTCCAGGCCCTTGTCATCTCTTACTACTGTAATCTTCTCTCAATTTGTCTCACAGTCTAACCATCTTCCTCTTCGCCTGTCATCAAGCTGGAGGAGCCATTTTCCCTAAATACAAATCTATCAGCTCATCCGCCAGTCGTGGCACATGAATGGCTCCCATTGTCCACAGGATTGGCAAACACATCAATGCCCGCTGCACACAGGCTCCCCTCAGCCTTCTGGAGCCCAGGGCAGACATCCCTATTCAGGCATGGCTTCGGAGCCCTTCTTAACACAGATTTCTAAACGGCAACTCCCAAGCAATAAGTAGCAACATAAGATACAACCTTTCCGTCACCACCTGACCCCGACCTGCTCCGCAACCTCCTTTCCTATCGCCTTCACTCCTGCCCACTCCATGTCTTCTGAGCTTCCCCAACAGAAGCCCTTCTGCATGCTTAATTATTCTGTAAAGAAAACAATTTTCTTATTGCATCTGGTCCATTTTTACTAATCCTTCCATATCCATTTCAAATATCATCTCCTTTTGGAGGCCTTTCCTGACTAGTGCAGGCAGAGTCAAAGGAAAAGCTTCCTTTTCTTCTATTTACGTTAGATTGTAATTGTCCATCTCCACATGTGCTGGTCCCCTACTGACTAGAATACGACCTTCTCTGGACTGAGACTGTATCTTAGTCATCTCTGTATCTTCTCTCGAGCTTTCTATAGTGGCTAGAACACATTAGGTGCCAAATAAATATTGCATGAGTGAAGGACGGAGCAGATGGATGGATGAATAGCAGTGCCCTCTGGCTGTAAATATGGCAGGTTTCGGATTCATAGTTTCTGCTTAGGCACAGTGTTAGGGACACTGTCATAGCAACTCTTCTTAGACTGATCTGGGCCCAGGCACATTAGGAAAGTTCAGAATTTCATTGATAAAAGAGAGCAACAGTAATAATAATAATAGCGATAGTAATAATGATGATAACAGCTAACATTATCGAATGCTTACTATGAGCCAAGACAAAATCTGCTTGCTTGAAGACTTAAAGAACAAGGAGAAGAACAGTCTTTAAATATCATTAAAGAGCAGAATAAAGACAATTCTGAGTATAAAGGGTCACACTTTGATCTGCTATCTAAAAATGTGACAATAGTCTTAAACTCTACTGAAAGTAGCTTTAGATCATTTATTAGTAAAAAGGTGTCAGAGCCAAAAGGAAGACTCTATAATGTATACATATGTCTGGACTGGGCAGTAAATAATTATTTTTTTCTTGATATCATTTTATAGTGGCTTGAGTTAAGATTATCCTAAGAAATGTCTTTCTTGGTCAAATCTTATGTGGGTGAAAATTAGCTTAGTATAGAGTTTCCTAAACAGTGTTCCAAAGAATAACTGTAAGATAAGGGTGGGGGATGGGAGGGGGACAAGCTGTAGGTGACAAAAATGTGGAGGATGCTGAGTTCTGGCCGTTGAGTTGCTGTATAGTCCTCTTAGAGGTGTAGAACACATAGTAGTGTCTTGGGCGTAAGAAGACTTCAGTAAGGAAACCTGTTCCTTGTGGCTTAACCCAAAATTCCCCACATGTATTTGACTCACAAACCTTTTTAAATAAAATGCTTCACATTTATTTCCACGGAATTAGTATCGGGAAATTCTGGCTGGGGAGGTTTGTAGAAACAGTCCTCCGTGCTGGGATTCTAGCTGTGGAATACACAAAGAGGCCCGCTATGAAGACCTATCTGAGGAAGGGAAAGGAAGATTGACTATGGTCTGGGCCAGAAGAGGCTCGTGCCTCGTGTTATTATTTACATGATAAAATTCAACTCTATATGAAGGCGAGAAAAAGTCCAACTCTTAATCAATTCCTTGAATTAGCAGTTTAGTTATTATGGCTGTATCACAGTCATAAGAATTTATACTTTCATTTTGTCCCACAGAAAAACTTGACCATCTTTCTTTAATATTATCAACCTGGAAGCTTGACAGTAAGGATTAAAAATTGCTCCTTCCTTTCCACTTGGTTATTGGAAAGGCTCTGAAAGGTAATCAGTCTTGTGAAGCTACACTTTACAGTCTGCATAAAAATGCCATGATTTCCTTTCCTCTCCCCAACCTAATTGAAAGTGCATAATATCACCCAGCTGGGGAAATGTAAACGGTAAACATATGCAATATATCATGCTATCACACAAAGGCTGGTTACTAATAGGGACTAGGTGGTTGTCAGAACCCTAAGAAATCTGGGAAACAAGTCTTTTTTTCATAGAGAATGAGAGCTCTCTGAGCCTGCCACCCTTCTTCCCCACCTCCTCCCTCCACACTTCAAGCTACAGTCAGATTAGACCAAGGTCAGTTAACCCATTTCTCGCATGTGCAATTCCAAGGGTCACCTAACAGTGTATATTGACTAAAACTCTCTTGCATCAGGTCTTTCAAGGGATGAGGCATTTTACTTTTGGCAGGAGGTGGGGTTGGAATCCCGTTGTTCCCTACCTACTTCAATTATACTGACAGATGGTCCTATTATCTCTTTCCTCAGCTGCTAAACCTAAAGATCCTTGGCCTTGTCACCTCTTATCTTTCTCTACTTCATCAAACTCCTATTGCCAAGATTATCTCCTTTTCTACCTCTGATCATCCATGAATATCTATACAGGGTCACATTTTCCTTGAGTACAAAATCCCAGTCTCTCTTTTCAAAGCCCCTTGCTCCTCCACAGCTGTCTATAATTACACTTCAGTTACACCTACTTGGAAGTCATCGTTTTCTCTTCTCTGACACCCCACCTCCAAGTGTCATGCAATCTTCTTGAATAAGTCTTTTACAATGGGGCTCCTAGGAGGAAGGACAATATCCCTTCAAAGCTTTCACCATTAGTTCTCTGTCACAATATCCCTTCAAAAATTGCTCCCTGTTGCACCATGAACTCTACGACTACTATTCATTCATGCCACCTTATAACTGGCTATTGCTTTATTTTTGATGGTGGATACATTACGGGTAGGTCAAAGAATAGCACTTGTCCTGGGTACCACATCATTTCAGTTTTACCAGATTCAAGGATATGTTTTTATCTGCTTCAGCAGTAGAGATGATTTGAAACTTACTGAATTAAAACTACATTCATCTTTCACTAAGTTGTATTACCTGTCAACTGGAGCCGGTAGACGGTATGGCTTGTTGACCTTGGCGTAGAGACCCTCTAAGTGGTCTCTCTCTGGAGACAGTGGACGGCCATCCCGAGGGTAACCAAATGGCCCAGCCCTAGGAGGAGATGGAGACCTAAAGACATTTGCTGACGCACATGGTTCCCGAAAGTGGTTCACCCTGGCGTAATTGGGGTCCATTTCATCATCATCCATATCGTACACTGATCCGATTGCGCCAGTAGCATAATCAAGACCTCTTGCCTGCTTCTCCCTTAGCTCCTGATGTTTTGCTCCAATCCTGAAAAACACAGAACAAGTGGCAGAGACATATGTGAGTTTTATATGCTAAAACAATGGAATACTCTCTTCAATCTGTTAACTCTTCCTAGTCACTTAGCTGTCACTTTTCCATTTATTCAAGATCACACCATGCAGAGATGCCAACAGCATAAGGAGGTTACTTTCATACCTCTGACCTTTATGCCTTTATTCGTTATAGGGTCTTTAGTTTGATAGCAATGCTATAGGTATTTTGACACATCTTGCCCACTGATGTCTGGGCCGATAGCAGTGCCAGAGGCAGATTTTCATTAACATTCCCTCCCTATAAATGGACCGTGTTTGTGGGAACACTGCATCTTTGATGTGATATTATGGAAGTCATTCTTGGGACAGGGATGCGTGTTAAAGAGCCCATTAAAATCTTATAGTTTTCTATGACTTCACTATTTAGGGCACTAGAGTTTCCAGTGTATTCTTCCAAAGAAAAGAGCTTGCAAAAATTGATTTAAATATGAAAAAGAAATACAGAGGCTTTCTGGTCACTAAAAGCAGTGGCATCAGGGGTAATTTATAAGCGACTCTAAGTTTTTTGGTTACACAAATGTGGATCATCGTGTCTCATTGTATAGGGGCTAGAGACAGCGTAAAATAGTGAAGAAATTAATAGGTTCCTGACAGAGATGAATAGGCACATATAAGTGAATTAAACACCATTACTGGCAGAACTCCACAGCGCTGAAGCCTTAAGTGATATTACAAAATGCTCCTGCTAATCAGTGCCACCGTGCAGACTACTGGGAATGGGCGCAGAAAAATATACTTAGGTAGATTCCAAATCCATCTGAATTTTGAGAATTTGACATTTAATCTGGAAAGTGTTAAATCAGCTCTTCTCGAATCCCTGTTATGTATTAAAATGGAAAGGTCACTATGGCACCGTACTGGACAATGGTGATCTTGATGGCATTAGGAGGTCTCTGCACTAACGAGGAAAGAGTGTAAATCTCATGTCCCGGGACAAACCAGGTGCACTGTGTACAGGATGAATAAGATGATGCTGGCTCAGGTGGCTAAAAGAAGATACTCAAGAAAGCATAAGGACAAACCCGAAGTCCTGGGCCCAGAGAACATGAGAGGGCCATGGGCTACCAGTGAAAGATCCATATATGACTGGAGATATCTACGGAAGGTCTGGATGAGTTAAGAAACAAAAACTGAAACCCCTCAGTAGCTTCTCCCCTTCAAATAAAAACAGCTGTTTTCACACACCGCACCTAGTTTTATTTTACAAAACATCAAACCCTTTGTAAAAATATTTAGAAGCCATGATTTTTCAAGGTATTTTCTCTTTTGGAGAACAGCATTTTTATTTTATTTTTTTAAGAGGAGGATAAAAGAAATTGGGGAGGAGAGAAAAAAAGTAAAAAAATAAACAAAAAAAGAACGCATAGGACAAAAACCCAAAAAACAAACAAACAAAAACCCAGCATCTATCCTCAAGTTACAACAGATGAAAATAAAAGCCAAGATACATTATTGCAGATCTCTTTTGACTAGGCAAACCATGTACCCTACTCATAAGTAATTAGCAAAATTTATATTTTTGCATAAAGCAGCTTGAGTCTCCACGGAATTTTGAATGAAGATGAAAGGAAGATTACACAGTAGGGTATCCGTTAAGGGGCTTTGCCTGCCCCTTTTCAGTATATGTTAGCCCTAGATTTATGGATGTTTGTTTTGAGTAATTTTTGATAAAGAAGATAACCTGCTCCGTTCTTCAACAAAGCAATCTTTCCAGGGACAGTGCAGACTCGATTATCAGAGAAAGCTTGCTGCACGCCGATGATAGGGATGGATTTCCATTGCAAATACAGCAAAGGACATCAATAAAGTTAGGGGGTGGGGTTCTGCACTGTTACTATCCCTCCTAAGTAAGATGCCTTCAAGAGAAATCATTCAGCAGAAAGATGAATATCTCCTGGCTGCTGCATGGGGCTACACTTGTGCATTAATGAAAGAGAAAAACACCAAGCTCGATTTAAAAATCACAGAAACAGAACACTGGTATCCGCGTTTCTTATTTCATCACTTCTCTTTCTTAGAGGTTTTCTCATTAATTAAACTCACTGAGTATGTAGAGATTCTCGGATGAAAAGTACTACATGTATGCCAAGCAGTATTTTATCTTGTGTTTTTCCTTTCTAAAACAAAACCAAATTCCTCCTTGATTCTCTCGCACCACTGAGTGTTTCAGGAACTAATTTCATATTAATCACTCAGTAGGTGAAATAGTAATTTCTCTGAACCATCATTATTATGCCATATATCAGGGTCTCTCTATGTCAGGGAGGATAAGACAATCTCTGAAAAGAGGCGCATGGAGGCAGATGAAACTCAACAGGGAAATGCCAAGGAAAACGATTTTTTTTCCTGGCTCTCACCTCCACCTTCGCCCCAATTCAGTATGAGAATTCTAATTGTTTATAATTATTTCCACTTGGAGGTCTCCTTACCACTGGGAACTCAATCTGTTAAAAATATCTATTTTTCAAAATATATCCTTTTATATTTGATGGTACTACCAGTTTCCCCTTCTCCCAAGCACACTGCCTTTCAATTGTTTAAAGCTCCTCTTTCTCTCTTCTCTTTTGAAAACACAGTTGTTGTTTTTTTCCGTAACACCTCTTAAATGTCCTCTATTATTTCTATTTCTTCAGCCGCAGTCTACTAGTATTCAGGCTTTTATGTTGCTTAGATCTGTGCTGTCCAATATGGCGGCCATTAACCATATGTGGTTCTATGAGTTTAAATTTGAATTAATTGAAATCAAATCAAATTAGCTTCTTAGTTTCACAGGCCATATTTCAAGTGCTCAATAGCTACCTGTGGCTAATGACTACTATATTGGACAGTGCAGATACAGACGAATTCCATTAATGCAGAAAGTTTTATTGGACTGTGCTGGTCTAGATTATTCTAAAAGTTTTTGGCATGTCACCTCATCCCACTTTAATGTATAACTTAAAAGGCTGCTAGAACAATCATCCTAAAAGAGCATTTCTATCATATCTGTCAGATCAATGATCTCTAACAAGGGATTGCAATAACCGATGGAGTAAAAGTGTGGTTACTCTCCCTTCCTCCCTGAAATTCTCAACAAACAATTGAGAAATTGGGAAGAAAATTCCATCTACAGTGCAATTAGAAAGAGGCCATAATCTCATGCCTTGCAATAAAATTTGGACTCAGCCCCAAAGGGGAAGTATAACAAGAGCTGATATATGCCTACATCTCCAGCAGGGTATACACTGCACTGAAAATAAGGGAGGGAGTCTAGAAGAGCACAGACAATAAACTTTTACTTAGAAAAAGAGAGTCTGAGGACAGGGGCAGGACCCTGGAATTGTAAGGTAAATCTTTGTGAGGATCCAACTTTAGAATGGAGGAGAGGGTAAAACAGATATATTTCCTCTGAGCAAATCTCCTACCTTGAAGAAACTTCATGGAGATTAAAATGAGGGGAAGAGAGAAGTATGAACCTACTTTGTATCTGATAGATAGAATTAGCAGGACAGAAATAAGTAAACCCAAACTCATCAAAATAAAGCCAGTATTCTAGGAGACTCCACTAAGAAACAGGCTGATCTTGTCAGGATAATGAGCTCTCTGAAAATGGAAGGCATAGAAAATAAGTTCCTAGGGCAGTGCACCCAGCAAATCTGTCAAGAACATATTTTGAGAGAACACGAAGAATTGAAACTGCTTGTGACCACTATACCCATATCATTTAACACTGCATTTTAGCACATTTTTTAAAAAAAATTCAAGTACTACAGAACACTATATTAATTTTATGGGTCATACAAGCATTTAAGAAAATTAAATACAATAAAAGAAAATATTAGACCTTATTATATGTAGTAAGCATAAGTGTTGTTTCAAGAAGGAGAAAAATCAATCTACAAATTCAGGCAAATTCACTCTGGTTTCCAAACACAAATAAAGACAATAGAAAAACACTTAGACATTTAAAAACATAGAGGGAATTTCATAATGGTTGACCGATCTTGAAAAACTTGTTGATAATGAAAAACAGCCAACCAAGTACTACATTAAAATGAAGAATTTAACCCGGTTGTTACAGTCTTAAGTCTTCCAAAATTCATGTGTTGAAACTTAATCTCCACTGTGGTGATATTAAGAGGTGGGGCCTTTTGGGAAGTGATTAAGTCATTAGGGCTCTGCCCCCATGAATGGATTAGTGTTTTATATAAGGGCTGGAGGGAAATGGCTTAGGGCCCTCTTTGCTCTTCCACTCTTGCATCATATGAGGACACCTGGACAGCGCCATCTATGGGCAACAGGCCTTCAATAGACACTGAACCTGCTGGCGCCTTGATCTTGGACTTCCCAGCTTCCTGAACTATGAGAACATAAACCTCTTTGTAAATTACTCAGTCTTGAGTTTTTATTTCAGCAACAAAAATGGACTAAGACACTGTTGAGGCTTTGGAATGACAGGTCTGGAGGAGAGCAATACATTCATTTAAATATAAAACTACAATTAAATGTCTGTGGAAATAATTACTAAAAAATTATAAACTCTGGAAATATAAAAATAATACTACTAATGGAAATCAGAAGTCAAGGAACTAATTTAGGAGATAGCACTGTCACTCAACTGTATTTATTTCCTCACTTTATAAAGCAGGCATTACTATTTACTGTCAGAAGTTGATACATTAAGAAGCAGAGATCTAAAT